ATAGTAGAGTGGCTAGAGTCATACAGCACACTAAGCTATGTGTAACCACATCTTGACCACATCTGTGCAATGAAATACTAGAAAGACTTGAAACATAAGGAAGAAAAACATTGTTCTGAATGTGCACAGAACAGATTTTTCCCAGTCTATGCAAGTCCTTGGGACTGTATGATTTTGTCTTGAGTGTTTAGAATTTTATGAACTAAACACTGCCTTTTGTCACAAGCTATTGAAATAGTCTGTAGCTTGGTCCAATGTTTTCCAATAATTACCCATGCGTACAGCTCCTTTTCAAGTGAGAGGTGCAACTGTATGCCTCACAGATGGGTTCCGGATTCTTTTACTGCTGGTTCACTCAGGGACGTGCTTCGGGCACGCGCATGCACAGTAATTAAAAATTGCTTTTGCGCATGCAAAAAACAAGATGGCGGTGCCTATGGCGCTGCCGATAGAACCTATTCAGATACATGGGCAGCTAAGTTACTACCTACTCGGCCGAACTGGTCCGAACCAGTAGGAACCCACCTCTGGTATGCCTAAAATTATATTCAAAGGCACATTACAAAAGAGGTTATACCCTGTTAAATCACCATGTGATTCACTTGGATTTTGCTTCAGAGTTTTTCATGAATATGGTAGTATTGGTTTGCAATTCATGGTCTGAAAGTTGGACCTTAAAAAGCAAGCAAGGAATAAAATTGACTTGTTTGAACTGTAGTGCTAGAGAAGGCTCCTGCATATTCCTTGGATAGCAAAGGTGACTAACAAGCAAGTATTGGAATGTATTCTATCATATGGGTCACCGGGAAGCAAAATCACAAAACTGAGTCTCACTTATTTTGGCCATGTCATGCTCACTAGAGAAAACAATTGTTTGGAAGCGTTAGTGGTAAAAAAAAAGACCCCAGGCCATCAAACAGGGTGGCTGGACACCATCAAAGCTGATACCAGCCAGAGGATAGGAAAACTCAAAGAAGCAGTGCAAGATTGGAAGAGGTGGAAAGACCTGGCCCATAGAATTGCCAAGAGTAGGATACAACTGAATGGATAACATCATCATAAAATCATGCTCTGCAGCTTAGTATGCTGTGCGAAATCTAATTTTTTTTCATGCAGCAAACAATGGCTCAGCATAACGTGTGAACTCACATCCATGGCCTTTTTCCAGACTGAAATCTTCTGAGTAATAAAAAATATGGCATTATAGATACTCACATATTGAGCTGATCATTTTAAGAAAATGTTTTAGCACATTGCTTGGAACTCTGGCATGACTGTTGCTACATTATTTTCATGTTATGCTTGTCCACACTTTCCTTAAATGGTCTACTTCTTTAACCAGACTCCTGGGATATTGCAATCTATTATAAACTAAATGGATAGTCCAGATTTGCACAATACTAAGTGACGTGGGTGACTAATTTGTGATTAAATATGGGAAACGTGGCAGGTCAGGCCATCTTGTCCTGTACTGTCTTACTATATCAGACCATTTTGCTAAATACTGTCCCACTTTATCAAGAAGTAAAGTCTCCCACTATGTGATACCAATCCTTTAAAGTAGAGATTCAAGCAACTGAAGCTGTAACTTTCATGAAAACTATGCATCCTTCCAATGAGCTGCAAGCAATGCCTTTCTCCCTGTGCTCTCCCTGTATGTTCCAGGAATATCTTTGGAATAGAATATGACATCATCCGGTCTGTTCCTAAATACAGTTCTGTGGGATGGTTTCAAGATAAGACCATTGATGAGTTTTATGGACTCTATGCAGCCTAATCATTCGTACTATCACCCACTGATGAAGTTATTTAAGAAGACTATATCTCACTATGCCTACCATAGTAGCCAAACCCAACAACTTTGGAGATAACATTGTCTTCTTCAGCACAACTGAGAGACAAGGCCTCTCTATCATGAGACTGATTTCTCAATTTTGTCTCTGGACTCTGGGGATCTGTTGGTGAAAAAGGATACTGTGTCTGTATGTCCCTTTTCTTCCCCGGGAACTGCATTAACATGGACATCTTTGCTGTATTTCTTTAAAAAAAATGTATCTAAAAGTACTGTAAAATTCCAGTGAAACTGCCTTCCAATTTATTGCCTGTTTCTTTCTCTTTCTTTTTTCCCACCGCATGAAACCCTGTGCTCAGTGCTGCTTGACTGCTTCTCTCCTATTGTGTTAAGTAAGCACTTCAAGAGGTATACTCGTCTCATCAGAGCTCGATCTCAGTGAAATGTGAAAAGGATTCTTGAACTCCTAAATTCCAAGGGTATCTGTGAGCAAACTGCAATTTTATCTTCAGTTATGCTTCAGTAAGTGCCACCAAATGTGAGATATAACTGGGGGGAAAGAAGTTTCTTCATTGCTTTATATTGTTCTTCTTTCTTTCTTCTGAAAGAAGATCTGACTCTCCTTCCTAGGCTGAGAGAGAGAGAGAGAGAGAAGGAGGGAGGGATATAGACTGGCCCAAGATCACCTAGCTGTTTTTTGTGCTTAAACCAAGACTAGAATTCACAATCTCATGGTTTCCCATCTGGTGCCTTAACCCCTGCACCAAACTGGCTATCTTCCATTCTTCATCACTGGAGGCTTTCAGAAGGAGATTGGACTGCCGTTTGTCAGAAATGGTGTTGCCTGCTTGTGTGGGGGTTGGACTAGATTCCATTCCGTTCCATTCTGTTTTATTCTACTCTATTCCTCATACTTCTTAAACCAACACAATATGCAAAGGAAAAAGACAGGCAACTCTGTTAAAATTCAAACCCAGGGAAAAGAAATCAAGGGACAAGAGTAATAAGTTGCCAAAGTATATGAATAAATATACTTTGTGTCCCACATTTGGTGTAGTGGCGAAAGCATCAGGCTAGAGACTGGAAGACTATAATTTCTAGTCTCTCCTTAGGCCCAACGCCAGTTAGGTGACCTTTGACCAGTCACACCCTCTTAGTCCTTTAGGAAGCAGACAATGACAAACCACTTCTGAAATCATGTCAATAAAATTGCAAGGCCTAGTGAAAGCACATATACATACGTAATACATACAGTTCAGGTATGGGTTTCTGCCGGCATTACTGCTGGTTCAGTGTGCACACGATTTGCAGTTGCCTATAAATAGGTCTGCGCATGCGCAAAACATTAAAAATGTCAAAAATAGATGTCTCGGCGACCAAGGAACCAGTTTGAGGGTGTGGTGAGCATGCTGTCCTTACGGCGTCCATGCCGTCCTTACATTCAGCAACCCAATCACCATTTCCACTAGCGGTTCCACCAAACTGGTGCAAACTGGTAGGAACCCACCTTTGATACAGTTACATACAGGAGGGAAGTAACAACAGGCTACTGCAAAAAATCTGAATGATTTATTTAAAAACTCTTTCCTGTCATCTAATTGTCTTCAAAATGTTTCCAGTCTTAATATAGTAGCCTGTTGTGGCCCAGCAGGATCCAGTTGAGCTGCTGATGGTCTCGGATAGCGAGGAACCATATGAGTCTGCCAGGGAAGATGTGGAGGACCCTGGGCAGGGTTCAGACTCAGAGCAGGAAACAGAGATGCTGGTAGGCTAGCAGGACG